GGTCTCACTCCCTGAAATGAGGCTAAGGACAAGTTGAATGAAACTAGACGGTTAACCAGTGATTTATTWTTTTATTGTTTAACTCTCAAGACTATTATTCTATACATTAAAGATTTCACTTGAAAAACACTTTCAATAATAGCGTAACAACAACAACATCGTCAACAACAACAACTGCAACAACAACAACATCAACAATAATAACAACAACAACATCATCAACAATAACAACAGCAGCATCATCAACAATAACGACAAACACAATAAGAACAACAACAACAAAATACTATTATATTTTAGCTATCATTTCGAGTGAAATGGTACCATTCATGCTTGTTTCAGCCATTTTATTAATTCAGTCAAGTTGCGAATAAGACACTCGTTTTCTCAGTGCTTCAGCGTTTCTTCTAAGAAACGATTTCCTCTTTGTCTATACTATCGTAAACGGGACCATATTCTGGGATGGCAAAGAATACAACTGGGTCATACTCGGTCCCGCCACTGCCATATATGGGGTTGTCTGATTTTCTCGTCGTAGTGCTGCTGGTCGATCTGAAGGAAAATAATTAAACTTTGGATAACCGTCTTATGCAGCCGCCATTTTGTGTTGTCGCGCAATCCAATTTATAGTAGTCTCCTGTCGCAGCGCTGCAGCCATCACATACAAGCGAGGCTCGTTCCCAGGTCAGGGAATGCCGAGCCTTTTAACGGCTGCGAAAGGAGACTATCTATGGCAAAATCGTACGATTGCGCTTTAGAGAAAGATTCAATTAAACACTCTTGTCGAGTTCTTTACCTTTGAGTGGTATCGTCATTCTGTTCATAAAGGACATTGAGTGACTCTGAACGATTCCTGTCAAGTACACGAGASATTTCAGTTGTATAAAAATACTTTTTCAAAACAAAAACACAATATTGGCTGCATGCATCATCACGCATAAGGGCAAAACTTTCGGATTGTGGAACAAAACGTTTTGTATTTTAATCAAATTTCTCAGAACAATTGTTTGTTGTTTTATCGACCAATCYAACATGGCGACCCTCAGGTCACGTGATGCAAGCAACAAGTCCTACTTTTGAGCTGTCAGGTCCTCAATCGATTCATAACAAGCGTTTTCCTCAATGGTATCAAGACTGCTGTAAGATAAACATGTGCATGTATTGAAACACTTGGAGATTAAAAATAAACCAATCTGCCACTTATGAACAACCCCTTGGGTTCGAGTCTTTTGGGCTACCGTTCAGTTTACCTCGAGTTGAATACTTGGTCTCCAAACAGATAGTCAGTAGATGTAGAACGAATTCTAAAAGATACAAGTATGGATTCGTCACAGRATAGCATAAAATCTGAAGGGTATTGTAACGTTAGGTGGTACCTTGTAGAATCAACGTCGACCATTGTCTCCATGTAAGCGTTGTTCTGTACTTGTCTTTGACTWTTTTTTCGCATTTGAGAATGCGCGGACACAGTCGTAGATGGGCTTTTCTGCTTTTTTCTGTTGATCACACAATTACTACAGTGAAAAAGAGTCTACATTTATCTGTGTGCCAAGACTATAGTTCCTGTTAAAACAGCCTTGAGATCATCCCTCTCGCGCGTGCTCACAAAACATACTAAATATTCAACATTTTAATCTTTAGCTGGGTGAAACTTTCCCTATATAAGCGCGCGATCTATCCATAACCATCAACTTTAATAATTAGATCATACCGATTATTACTCCTTCTCTTGTATACAAAAATGAATCCAGTTGTCATTGCGAGAACTAGAAGTATGACAAGTACAACAAGAATGATTTCCAATGTACTGAAAGGAGTTCCGTCATAATTCCGACTTCTTCTTCCATGTGTGATGTTCGCAGACGCTTTGCTACCGAGAGAAACGGTTGATATAGTTGTAGGACTAGGAGTTTGTGATGTTGTTTTTTGTGACGTAGTCGGAGTTGTTGATATTGCTGTTGTTGCGTTTGTTGCCAAAGATGAAATCACTGTAACAGCAGCTGAAATGAAAGCAACATCATGATGTGCTCTCAATACTGTATACCACAATTCTTTTCGGTAGTGAAAAACTGAGACAAAATACACTGCCCCTTTTGACATCCCATAATTTCTTTTTAATTTAAGATGGTAGCCATATTGGCAAAAGGATGTAATGTGTGCCTACTATGTTCTTACTAGGTTCTGTTGTGTTGCCTCTACAAGGACAAAGCCTCCTGACCGATGGATTTCCTCCCTGGTCACAATTGGTCTTTGCMTCAGATGATCTCTCTTTGAATCCAGTACATCTGCCTTTCCATTGACCCAATGTGATAAAGTTTGGTTGATCTGGATACACATACGAGTCCGTGTAGCTATCCGTTGAGCAATTTACGTTAAGTAAATGAAAAATGTTCAGAGAATCGCGAGGAAAGGCACTTCGCTCAATGCATGACWTTCCATGTGCATCACAGGCTGTCGTGCAGTTTTCTGCATGGGAACCAAGGACGTAACTGACTGCAATGACACGAAATACGTACGGAAATCATTTTATAATCTAAAAAGTAAACTAAACAGAGCAATGCACATAAAAGAAACTAGAAATAATAAACACAAAAAATAATTGTATCGAAGAAAACAGGGCAGGATAAAACAGAYCGAGTCAGTAAAAGTGCTTTTATAATATTTTATACCACTAAATAAGTCAAAATGGAATCCAAAGAAATAACAGCGCTGTAATAATTTACAGAATCAGGTCGCGTGATTTAAAGGCTGATTGTTTATTTAAATAAAATTGTTTTGATAAATGATTATTATCTAATACTATAAAGATGATGGCGTCCATGAAATGAAGTGTATCTATTCTGGTTTACGTTTATTTTAAGATTTGATTTCCTCAACTCAAGTTAATTCATTCTTAATCAGTTTATACTAGTCGGTGTAAAGTCAAATTGAATTACATATTATTASATTACTGTAATTTATTGATATACAAGAAATTGTGCATTTGTTTAAATCAAACACACTATATTGTCAATTTTAGCGTTTTGGTGGCGAGTTTAACACAGTTTTTTTTTCGGGAACGTTATGAAATATATAATCTGTAGTATCCGTGCTTATTCAGGAATAAGTTTTGAACACAAAGTTAAGCACTAAGTATCGTCACAACTCACCCAACGCGCTGCAACTCGTCTTTTGTACGACGAAAACAAGAGAGAAACACGTCACAAGTAGGAGAACGGTACAGCGAGGGACTGATTTGAACATCGCGTCTACCTGCATCTCTCGAACTCCTTCATACAAGTCTTAACATGACTAGATATAGTCGATATAGGCTGTGGCGAGCTTCACAGATGGACCCCCATAGTGAGCGAATCGAGCTACGAACAACTCGTGCCAGCTGCATGATTTACCTATATTTGTATTAATTCTTTATTGATTATTGAATCATTCATTTTAAAGGACTGGCAACTATTACTATTACTATTCCGAGTCGGAACGCGAGTTGAGTGTGAGTATACTTCGAGTTGTATGGATAGAGTCTTGGGGATTTGCGGCTTCTCAGATTCGAGTTTCCGTCGTTCAAGTCAGAGGACTCGAGTTTTTAAATGATTGTTTTTATTCTAGACATAAATTCTCGTAACAACAACAACATCATCATCATCAACAACAACAACAGCAACAACTACAGAAACAACGACAGAAGCAAAAACAATAACAACATCAACAACACAATTATAACAACAGCAACAACAACAACAACATCAACAACAACAGGCACCAAATATTGAATTACTTAAAAATTGCTTGAGCACTAATAATTATAAGCTGCAGATAATGCTCGATAGTGTAAAAGCGCTAATGTCAAAATATTATTTCCATGTTTCTTTGAGAAAGAATATCATTCGCACTTTAAAGCATCGAAACAACACATTTCTATAGCCTCCTCCGCAGGCATCACTAAGAATCATCACGGGCTTCCTGTCTTTTTGAGGAGTCAAAAGAGGGAGAATGGGGGCGAGAAAATGGGATTATTTTTCCTATCTCGTCACTAGTCCCTAACGGCCAAAATGACGGTTACAAAGGAAGCCCAAAGGAGGAAAAAAGAGTTGCATGTGGAGGAGGCTAACATTTCTATTATATTGTTCACTTCAGCTTTGAGTCTTGTTGGAAAACCAATCACCAATCACCAATAACCAGTGATATTTCATTCCAAACCAATCTCGCTAAGACAAGAATCAATGGTAAAGATGCACCACTTGAGAAGGATTTTCCCGCTTTCGACGAGATAGTATGAACTGTAGTAGTTTGTGTATTGTGATCGTCTACTCCTGACGTAGGTCCACTGGTGGTGATGTTGACCATAGCTTGCKTTGTGCTAATATTAGCTGTTGTAGTAGTAGGTGGTCTTGCTGTAGTGGTGACAGACTGGGTGGTGGGACCTAAAATAATGATGTGCAAAAACGCAAACAAATGTGCAAGACTCTTTTGGATTTCCTTTGGTAAACGGGACGAAAGAAACTGGGACCAAACAAGAGGGAAGATCATAGAAGGGGGTGACCTACGTAGCAAGCAGTTGATGTAATGTATTCATAAAATGTATTGTATTCCATTGTTTCTCGTTCTATTGTATTATGTGTTTTGTATTACATCTTTATGAATATATTACATCAACTGAGTTCTACGTAGATTCTCCCATCATAGAAGAGATTGCAGAGATAAGATAAAACACGGCTATCGGTTATATTATCCCTCTAGATTAATATGAGAACTTTTTCCCCAGAGCCTCATATGACAAATGGGGAGTGAGGGGAGATAAGACAAAAGCTAAGCCGTTTGTTGTGGTGTAATTAAAGTTAAGAGAGGCTGGGTAGATGGTATCGAGATATACTTACAGTTGTTGCAGGTTTTTGGGCACTTTTCAAGGACTGCAGGATACTTTTGAGAGCAGAGATTTTTGTTATAGAAATCTATGCATTTCGCTTCTTCTATTTTATCTTTGCAACCTTGAATCAGAGATATTAAGTCACATATGAGGCTTGGTGCGATTGATGAGGATCCTACATGCACGTAAGTCAATCTCGCATATATCTCTTATACCGCTGTACGTAAAACAAAAGATGTTTCAACAACTCCAACACTGACTAGATTTGACTAACAATGCCTTGCAGCCCCCCGCACTCGCCACCAGTCCTTTTTATGACACATGGTAATATCTGTGGCGTTATTCGATTGTCAAATTTTTTTCATATTCCAAGAGAGGCAAACTAAGAAGTCAGCAAATAATCTTGAGATTATTTCTATTCCTCAAAATGTAATCTTCCCTATAATCAAAATGAGTCAATTCACATGCACGTGATCATACTGCAATCGTCCTTTGCGATTATGCGGTACTAGCTTAAAGTAGCCCATYAAAACTTCTGGTCAAAAAGTTGTAAAKACTTATACAGTCAAACGACGCTAAAGCTTCTTTACGTAGATTCGCTCACAAGCACGGAAAGACTATAGCTCGATTCCATTTAAAAGGGGTTTTGATGTTTGTACATATAACTGTAGCAAATTCAGAACCAAAACATCATATCACGAAAAATGGTTTGATATCTGGAAGACTTTACCTGTTGCTGCAGTGGTATTTTCTCCATTGCAATGATACCTAATCAAAAATACCACCAAGAACAAAGTGTACAGCTGTACTGCCATGAGATTCACCTTGTCGATGAAGTCAATAATGAACCAGTACAAGAGAGTAGATCGCTTCTTCAATTGTGTTTGTACTTTGAAATATCCACCTACTGGGAGACATGCTGAGATGTCAAACGGCTGTCAACATGTAACGACTTAAATGGTGTCAAACAGGGGCCCAGCTGTCTTTCACCTCTCCTGGTAAGTTGCAAGTGAAATGGTATCTTCAGCAACTGAAACAATCTAATTCATAGGTTGTGAAAAAAATTAAAGTCAAACAGTGATGCATCAAGACAATTATACAGGTCGTCAGTCAGTGAATTTGTATGGCTAAAGAGTTAATGTGCTTAACTAATCAACCATTGTTTTGTAAACAAATAGATATGCCCAGTACGTTTTTCTCGTTAACGATTCAATAATCTGAAACATTCGCTGACAATGGCATTTCCTCGAGTATTCATTATAATCAGACAGATTATCTTATCATGTCAAGAAAGGTTTTAGTTCCGTAAACAGTGTCTCGACAGACAATTGTCTTCCTTTGTGATATAGCTAAGGTCACATATCTTGGATTTTGACATGGATATTTACGATGCACCTACGTCAGTTGTGCTTCTAAAAGGTTGATGGGAAGGGAAGAAGCCACGAAGTGCGCATGTCTGAAACTTTTCTATGAAACTATAAGTGTGCGACGTTTGATAGTAAAAAAAAGTCGATGAATCATCGATGGCAAGAATCAATTTTTAACAACATCTTGTTTGCTTTTATTAACATTTTTACAACTAGCTTTACATATATTTCATATTTTATTCAAACTAACGACAAGCAAAAAGAGCACACGATATAACAAAATTTGTGTCTTTCTTCTTATACAGTTCTTTAAGACTACCGTTTCAGGTTCCTGTAGCCCCGGCACTTTCATATAATGGGTTTTCGTCTGTCTTGACAAAGAACTGTACTTCATTGATCCCGCTAAAGAATAAACGAACGACACTGGTTATAAAACACAATAAAAACAAGCCATAAGTTTCATTTTGAATGCGCGGCCATGATACACAAGTTTACATTATACGTTTACCAACAATACTACAATAGTTGAACTTACGTGTGAGCATAGATGAGATTCTCCGATGAAGCTGTTCGATTAAGGATTATACTCCTGAACACAAAGACATTGTGTATTAGTTTTATTAATAAACACTGATAATAGCCAATAACTATTGATAATTGTTGTTAATAAAGGAGACTTTCTCCAGGTTAACCAATGTATATTTTAGATTTTATACACTGATTTTACCATGACATACAGTAACACTGCACAAATAATTACCCTCCAGAGACAAGTTCCTCTAGTGACTTGGACTTGTCAATCAGTCCTCTGTGGAAGAAAAAGACACAATACTSAGCACAAAYTATTTATATGTTTGAATGGRTGCMTGAAATCGTTAACTTACTTTGCGTTGCTAYTTTTCTTGGCTTTTTCTTTTCTAAGAARGAGCAACATAAGACAAGATTATCATGTAGTTGTTCGGGAGATTTAAGAATGCGAGACCGAATGGTATTGTGGGTCATCATCATTAAWGAATAGTTTTCTTTCGTGTTATAAATGTATTATTATTATGCCTCATACATTTACTAGCGAGAGGATAAGTGAACAACATTTATTTATCGATATTTATTGATTACTTGTAGGGCATCTCAATCATGAACGCTCCCTTRCAGACAGTAACATGAGTATAGAGRGGGAGATATCAAGAAAAACGRCAAATTATGACTTAATTAAAAACTAATCCCCCATCACAAGATACGAAAAATGTTTCTTACTTATTTTTTCYTTCAWARAGTTCATATTTACATGCATTATAGATATCGCTAAATCTGCTGGTCAAATGCTTAGCTTGGGTAGCCTGTGACTCCCTTCTCTTCAACCCGTTCACATTATATAAAAGTTCCATTTACGAAATACATAACCATATTAGACACTTACTTAAAGTGAACTACAAAAACGATTATAATGACGCCAAGAGCTACCGCRCCAATACATATTGAGCCCGCRATGACYGCACCAGCTGATGACATCTTTGCATCTGTAACAGCTCGAGTAAATGCATGCCCTTCAGTAGACACTTCTGAGCTCCATAACGTGGTTGAAGATTTCTTTGTCCCTTCAWTGGAGTCAGAAGCGCCATGTTTTAATGTAGTAGATAATAAGTGTTGTGTGCTTGTAAACACTTGAGTAGAGGTGGTCTTTAACGGAGTTGTTCGTGTGGGCGTTGTCGTTTTATCAGCTGAAAGTGTTCAATACACACATATAGAGGATATTACCATGATAGGCACGCGAAGATATGGATTTTATCTTCGAGTGTTGAAAAGATCCCTCGAGTGAGAGATTTTCAACACGAGAATATAAAATCCGTATCTCCAAGCGACCATGCAATATTCTGTTTATCATGTAATTACATATGAAAGCAAATTATGTCGTAAAATACCTTTTTTTTTTCTCAGTGCTTCCACTATATAGAGAAACCTCGGATGTGATATTTTCACTAGTGAAAATAACATATTATTTTCACTAGTGAAAATACAATAATGTATCAACTTTACGAAATGGAGAAATATAGGTATTTCGTAGATAATTATATGATAAATAACATATTTTATATATCTGTTGTTGTTCAACTGTTTGCATGAATGTGTGTATATATACAGTTACTTACGTGTACATTCAGTAATCATATCTATGTCCCATGTTCCATCTTCTCTGCATGTCGACTTCGTTGAATTCAAATCCTTCKCGACAAAGCTCGGATTACATTTGACGACACAAGAATCGTTGATCACATTCTGGTTGGTTTGTGTGCAGCGAGGGGGATAGATGTATCCATTGACAGGGTTAACACGACGAGGACAATATTTGGCTACAGAATAAAATATCATGATGWTAATAGAGTGCAAATACTAAAACTGCGCAACAAAAATACCACTAAATATACTGCTAAATTATGCTAATTCTATAGTTTTCTATTGTTTAATCACTATTTTATAGTAAATAGTGTAAAGTGTTGCACACATTTAGTGTTTGTACTCTAATTAATACTATATTAGATACGACCTTCTGAATTAAAGACATGCTTGCATCCAAGAACCTATTCGATGAATAGTTTATTTAAAAAAAAGATCAGTTGCTTTCTGATTCGCTCAAAATTCAAGATGGCCATTTCTCATATGTCTGAAAATCGCGTAGTTTTCTATTATCTTATTAAAAATACTTTGTATGAGTAATTAGTAGGATTTGTTTCACGGATTTAGTGCGTCGAATGTTAGACTTACGAGTGTAATAGCAGTAGTATATTGTGTGACCATATCTTATCCTGGTCGCTCCGTACGGGTGTGCCCCACCATAATCATTCTTAGATGACGTTGTATCGTGCTCGGTTTCATAATAAATAAACTCCCTTGTGACATTTGCCCCCCTGACTAATTGACAACCACTGCTTTTAAAGGCAATCAAGTAAAARGGCGTTGAAACAGGAAGGTCAATTGCTTCTAGCTTGTTTCCTTTTGTGCTGCAACAGAAATACATCTTCCTGTGTAAAAAGACGATGGGAGCGTTAGAAGTTGTGTTCATCCAATTCTCATCGATAATTATTAATTATTTATTAGTGTATTTGRTATGAATGACAAGACACTTACGTGTTATTATTGTACAGTCCTTTCGGTAATGTACCTYTGTGGTTGTTTTTATTTTGACTTTCATCGTCCCAAACAACCCACCCTGAATCYAGAYCAGGCGGGCAAACATCTCCTTTCTGATATATACAATACTGGCCACTAGGCCAGGGGGGTCTAGTACTATCATCTATTGTATTGTTCTTTATACAGAACTCCCTCTGAACGTCATTAGTCACAAAGCCTGCCAAGTGGTAACTGGGTGATTTACTAGTTGTTGGATTAGTGTCTTCACAATCTTGGTACAGTAGTCCCGAGGCCCACGCGACTGACGTGGTTTTTGGACATCCGTCTATGGGTTTTGGTAGACCGTATAGGCCTTCTGGCCATAACAAACCTGGAAAATAATCTTTTTAGTTAATAGATGGTSCTGACTGGTATAGTCAAAGTATAGTCCAAGAAGCTCGATTGATCGAACATTGACCACTAAATAGACAATAA